AGGAATCCATCTTTGGCAGCAGAGCTCTGGCAGGGAGAACTCACCCTGCACTCTGGCTCGGTACCAGGGAGCAATGCAGCTGAGCTGTGGCAGCTCTGGGAGGGAGAACTCATCCTGCACTCTGGCTCGGTACCAGGGAGCAATGCAGCTGTGGCAGCAGAGTTCTGGCAGGGAGGACTCATCCTGCACTCTGGCCTGGTACCAGGGAGCATAACCCAGCCGAGGAGGGAGAACTCATCCTGCACTCTGGCTCGGTACCAGGGAGCAATGCAGCTGTGGCAGCAGAGTTCTGGCAGGGAGGACTCATCCTGCACTCTGGCCTGGTACCAGGGAGCATAACCCAGCCGAGTGACCCCAGAGGTGACTGATGTGCCTCTGTCAGACTCAGGGGCAAGAGGAGCAATGTCCCCAGCACAGAGCCTTCAGCTGAGCCTCCCCAGAGAATCAAACACTCACAGCCATTTCTGAGCCCACGGCAAACACGAGCGTGACGTGCAGCAGACAGTCACCTCCACTTCTGGAGACACGTCTGACTCTGGAGCTGAAGGCAATGCAGAGCCTGAGCCATGACTGCTGTGTGCTGCCCGAACAGGGGCAGAAGCAAAGCTTCTCTCCACGGCAGCCTGTGGGGAGGGTGAGAGGGGGGAGCAACAGGAGGCCCATACAGGAGAATTCTGGCAGAAATGCTGTGAGAGCCAAGTGATCACCAAACAGCATGTCAAAGGGCTGACAATGAGGACACGGATAAAGAAAGAGAGATGTCTTCAGCTGCTGGATACATATCCCCAAGGCTCACCAGTGCCCACTGTGCTCTGCCCCCAGCCTCGGGCAGATGGCTGTCACCCAAAGCCTGACTCCCCAGGGATTAGCACAGGGCATGGTCTGCTCAGGAGGGTGATGCCTGGCATTTATTTGCACGTCGATATCACCTCGTTAGTGCCAAGTTCATGAAGTCCCTCTGCAGACTTACTCAAAGAAGCCACAACAGCCCTTGGGATTCCTGAGCCTTCAAACCCAACTCCACCAATACACTGAGAGAACACGATCAGTATTTTTTTTACAGAGACGATGATACAGCTAAAGACAATTTGGATAACAAGGTCCTCACACAGGCAGGGGAGGGTTGATAAGTGCTACAAAAGAAAAAATACAAAGAATAACAGAAGATTTGGATAACAAGGTCCTCACACAGACAGGGGAGGGTTGGTAAGTGCTACAAAAGAAAAAATACAAAGCCAACAATGAAAATAAAATAACTAATTATTTTTTTTTTTTTTAACCAAAACCAAATTCCAGTACAGAAAAAATGCCTCAAGACTGTCAGTCAAAGGAGGTTTGCATATAAAATAACATTCAGAGCTGCCAAGGGGAAGATAATCTTCACCTAACCAGATAGAAGATCAGTAATTCTTTTCAAACAGGGAGGGTGGCAGACAGTATTTCTCAATACTGAACTGTTAACTACCCGACCAGAACAGAAGTTTTGTTCTTGTCCCTGCATGCATGCAGGTGTTAACGTTTGGTAACACTGTTCCACTGGAATATGATTTATTTTCACTTGGATCTCCCATCTCATCTTCGGCTCAGTTACTGAGTTATCTAGAAAGGTAGCTGGAATAGGAAGTTCCTTGTTTTGGATGCTTATCCCACAAATAAGCAGCCTGAGAAAATCCTAAGTAAATAGTAATCCTGTATAGTTAGCAATGTGTGCACTAATTGCTAATCACCTGCAAACATCAGCACACAGAATCTGTGTAACCCTCACAGGCTCACACCAGCTGAACCTCCACCAACTGATGCTGCAAAAGAATTCCAAGTGCACTGGGATAACAGATACTAACTACGGAAACAACGCTCAGTCTCCACGCCTGGAGTGGGAGAGTGCTAGAAAACATTCCACATTTCTTGACATAGCCATAGGTGACTTTCCTCCTTTGGAACTGCCCTTTCAAGAACCATGAATTTATTGTTTTCACCAAACACTTCGTGAAATCTTTTCTCCTACATATATCAAAAGATAAGTTTGAAAAATAAGCACATATAAAAATGATTTATAGCAGTTTGATTAGCTAAAATTATCTTTCTTTTTTCTGACAGCAAATCTAAAATTGTAATTTGATAAATTATTTGCAACTGCTGATGCATTAAAGTAATCAGGAACAGACAGACCCATTTACCAGCTGTCCAAATTGATTCATACATGGTGACCTGCCTGGAAGAAAAGGAGGATTTCTGTTCAGCTACCCACAGACATTTCAAACCTCAGAAGGAGCACTGAAAATTTTTGAACAACATCATTTGCTTTTAAGATTTCATGTTAGGAATCAGGAAAACCATTACAACAAAGAAGTATTAACCAGTCTGAGCAGAGACTTGAAGCCATGGCAGGAGGAACAGAAAGCAAAGTTACAGCCACGACTTTCCAGAGACTACAGGAAACTATTCCACATAGAAGTGAATTGGCAAAGGATGTAATTGAGTAGGAAGTGGCACATCAAAATGGGATTAATATCTTTACCCCTCACTGGCTAGAGAGTATGCACTTCATCAGGGTCAAAGACTGATCAGAAGTTTATACACTTCAATAAAAAACAGTCTTCACTCAATCACACATGCTGCAAAAATACAACACAGGTTACGTGTGTCCCCACCACAGGACACGTCTCACAGAAAGAAAGAAACTGAGTGAGCTGGGTAAGAAGTTTGCAAACAACCTGACAGAGGTAAGAAAAGTTCTGGTTCCTATCTCTGACGTCAGAACAGGTGTAAGATGTGGAAAGGGACCACAGCAAGACTCAGTGCAGCTCCCAGCCTGAGGTCCTGCTGCTCTGGGGACACCTGGTTTGGTCACTGCATGTCTCTGCAGATTGACTCCCATGGCTTCGCTGCCCGAGCCAGGGAGACACTCAGACACAAACCACTCTTGCTCCATGGCAAAGACACCAGGATTTTCTTAGTCAACAAGCATAAGCCAGCTCACATGCTGACTGTGCAGTGACCCTTTCATAATGTCTCCCAGCCACACAATTCACATCTGCACTTATCAGGAATGGCTTTTCTCATTTATACAGTCATTTGCTATTGTCATCTCTTGGCATCAAGTGCTCTAGATGAGAGGCTGAACATCGTATCTGCCCTAAACCAGAACAAAAATAATGAGAAACTATTATATTACAGAAAACATTCCTCAAAGTGTCGACCAACTCAGCCAAAAGCAGAAATTCTGGGTATTTCGATATATCCTGGATTTAGCAATGTGGGACTGCAGGGCCTATAAAGAGTGAAACACTCCAGCCCTTTGCCATGGTGCCTGTATCAGACCATCCCAAAGTGATCAAGCAGTGACAGTGCCTGAACCTCTGTCCCAACTCACAGGGTTGAAATTTGGAACTGAACAGTCGTGTTAAGAAAACACCAGAAGATGAGCTCTGGAGCACGTTACGTGCCCGTACTGCAGCACTGCCCTGCCACCACCACAGACACCTGCCCTCACACGTGTCCTCTGTGCATCTGTAACCAGCCAACCACTTCTGGTGTCTGGAATCACAGACATGTAACAACACTGCAGTCTCCAACTGCCACAGCATTTTCAGGTACTTGTTTTAGAGACTGCATACACTGCCTAAAGGGACACACAGTATTTTAAGATACATAAAAAGGCTGAATACTTAAGTGGTGAATTTAAGAAATAAGAAGGAAAACAAGCACAGACATATTAAATGGAACAGAGGAAATAAGGGGATAGGAAAACAGTCCTGATATGAGACTAAACAAGAAGGGAAGGAAGGAAAACTCTTTTATCTTTAAGTGTTTGGAGAGTAGAGAGGAACATGAATTCTTCAGGAAAATAGATTTTCATAATTGTTTTGCTCAGCTTGGCAGTGTGAGTCATGTCACTAGTCCTTGAAAGGTGCAAAAATTACAAGTGCTGGTTAAAGCTTAGGTTCCTGTTGTGCTGCCTAGGTCCCTAACACAATTCCTCTGTGGTTCTTTGGAAGAAAACTGCCTCCTGTGGGGCTGGAGGTGTTTGCCTCGAGTCCCTGGCCCAGTGTGTCTGTGCTGCAGCACCACGTGGAGAAGATAAGCAGGGCTGGAGTCTGGAGAAAAGAGCTCAGGGCAGAAACCCAGGGATGTATTGTTAATACAGCGAGAGAGAAGAAAAAATATAACCCAAATCACCTTTCAGCCTGAAGAAAGCTACTACACTCTGAAGCTTCTATAGGTACCTACCATGTTACTAACAGACAACAAGAAATAGGAGAGTATTGAAAGTCTTACAGCTGCCACAGATAATTTCTAAGTGACTTTGTGATTCCTATTTTTCCACCAAATCCTTGCTGATTCCATCATTTCAGCGATCCAGCTGCAGGCCTGCCCTGTGCCACGCTGCTCCTCTGTATCAGGGGCCTTTTAATAAAAACCAATGCGTGATGTAAAATGTCAGACACTGCTGTTCCCTATTACTCAGCTTAAAACCTTTGGGGATGTTTTTCCCCACTGCAGTTTAATGCCTGAGCTGCAGCAAGGTCTGTTTCCAAACACACTGTCAACTTGGTAATGCAGGGAGGGTCATTGCTGACACGCTGCTCCCCTGCCAAGCAGAAACAGCATGATGAGACTCTCGTTGCACAACAGTTCTCAAAATAAATGTCGAAATTACTTTTGTGTCTATTCATAGTGATACACTGTCTCGCTGCCCATCTTCCCCAAAGAAAGGGCTATTTTTAAAAAGGTGATTTAAGCGGTTGACGAATATTTTTCTAGCTACTCTTCAATTTTCTATTAATAATTTAGATAGGATTGAGTGACTTGTACCAGAAGAGAAGTAACCGAACGTGTCGTTACTTGACAAAATGCCTCATCAGTATTTGTGTCCTAAACACAAACATTCCATGGGATAAGTAGCAAACATCCCACAGGACAACAGGAGCAGAATGCTTTAGCCAGGGCTGCAGAGACAAGGGCACACTGAACTCCTGTTCAAACGTGACAAGAGAGGTAGAATAAGTGTGAATATTGCTACAAAAAGCACAAAAACTTCTGACAAGTTTAGCTATGATCTCCAGCGGGCAGGATTAGGCCTTATCTTAGGAAAACTTTAAAAATCTCCCTGCCAGCATATTTGCCTATCCCTTAACTAATGTCAGGCCCAAGCGACTCCTCCTGCCCTGAGCACACCAAGGGGCAGGGGGACAGCAAGAGGACTGACACCAGGCCATTACACAAGCTCTGCCTGTAGTTCTTACAGTCCTGTAAAAGAGAAAATTCTGCTACAACAGAAAAGAAGGGGTACTGAGACAATTCTTTCTTTCTTTCTTCCATGAACTTGCATGATCCCCCTGCAGGGAAACAGGATGTAAGTCCATAAGGTTCTCTTTGAGAAGATTTGCCAAGTGTTATAACCACATACTTTTCTTCAGCCTCTCTTCTTCAGGCCAGCCAAAGCATCACTAAGCAGCAAAGTGAGCAATGAGCACATTTTCCTTCCACATCTCCCCTTCTCTCCCTCTCCTCCTGCCCCTCCTGTATCCTCTGTGCACCACACCTGCCCAGGCCACCTGTGAGCACAGGCCCACTGACTGACTGCTTACAGAACAGCAAGGGGGGCAGGACCCTGTGACCAAACACTTCAAACCCAACGTGCCACACCAACCCAAGAGCCACAGCCAGGGCAGTTAACCTACCCAAGCAGCAGCTGAAAGCCTCACTGTCTGTGACACTCCCACAGCTGAGAATTTATACAACCTCCACTACAACTGCCCAAAGCAAACTGCCTGACCCCAGCTATGGCAGAGCACAGGCAGAGAACGAACCCAGCAGACCCCAGGGTGTACCACTCTGTACTTGTGGCACCTCACACCACACTGTGACCCCAGGAAAGGGACAAGCCCTTGGACCAGCCACGTTTCCAACACTGCCTGCAACCTGAGCAGAGTTATCTCAACAAATCTTGACACAGCAAGCCAAGGAAAACCTCAGGGACTGTGGCGACATGAAGCAGAATCTATATACCATTTCAGCCACACTTTTTTATTCAAACTATTACAAATTTATCAACAAAATTAAAATATTCGTTTTGGAATAATACTCTTTTTGGAAGAATACAACTAAACCTCCTTAGCAGTAGATGCATTGGGCTCATCAGCACTGCCACAGCTTTCTATGGCATAAGCTCTTCCTGCTCTTCACCACTGTCCTTCTGCTTCCACCCACTCCCACTGTCCATTTATGGATACCAACAAGAATTCTAGGGCCATTTGATTACTGGAGACTAAACATGAGGTTCACAGGTTCAGAAGAGATAATTCATGGTGCCTTCATCCATGGCTGCTACAAGTCTGTGCTTCAAAGTCACTTTCCCAAGCAAGGGAATGAAGACTCACCGTGTAAAAATGTAATGACAGACACAAAATCAGTACTGAGGTATCAGGTAAGAGTCCCTGCAATTACGCAGAGCTCAGGCTCACTTCTGTCAGCACACGTGGAGCACTAATGGTGGGGCTGGCTGAGGTGACCTCCAAAGGTCCCTTCCAGCCCCAACTACCCCACGGCTCTCTAATCCTGGCGATAACTCACACTGGCAGATGTACAACAAGGCTCTAGGAGTGTCTGGCAGGGGATAAAAGCACCATTCGTTATTCTTTCATTCAAAGAAATTGATCTTTACCATGTAGCTTTCTTGGCACACGATGTAGAACTGAATTAGAAGAGAAAATACCTGGCCCTGTAATTTTTTTTGACATACCCAGCTGCTGAAAGAGGAGAGCCACACTGGTGCCTGTGACGGGAAGGCTGTCGTGCAGGGGAGTCTGTATCAGCTGGCGATCTCCAGCCCCCAGAGAAAACAACTTCTGCAGAGAGAAATGGGTTACAGCTTTCATTTATGGAGAAGAAACAAGCTGTTGTCATACAGGTAAGTGATTCATACTGCAAATTTATTTCTTTGGTACACAGAAGCTTAAAGTCAGTAACAATAACTGGACTGACAATAGACATCTGAACCTGGAGAACAACGACGTGTCTCACAGAGTACAGCACGACAGTGTCCCCCTTGCATTTATGCTGAGTGAAATAGTTATGGCTTTGAAGGTTTCTAATAGCACATTTCTAATAATACAATAAAAAACCTCCCAGGAAGAAAACCCACCAACATTTAAAACCCATTTAAATCAGAAAAATGTATTTTACTACTAAGTGGCTGTCTGTGCTCTCTACTGTCCACATGCATAGCTCAAGTATAACATGCTGGTGATTTGTGGGTGTTGCAGAGGAGACTTTGCTGTTCCTGTGCTCCTGCTCTGCACGTTAAAGCAGAATTAAAACTTGGGTTACCTTTCCAGCATGAGAACAAACCTCCCTGGAGGGAGGCAGGAAATGGGAGTGAAAGGAATGCACTTGTGTGTCACATCCCAAACAGCACTGCAATTGCAAAATAACCTTGCTTTCCTCTGAGCAAACCCAGGGGAAAGCCAAGCAGCAAGTGATCCCAAGGCTCTAAGCTCCAAGCACTGCCCACCACGGAGTGGGGGCATCTCTGAGCAGGCAGAGTCTGCGTTTAACACTGAGAGAAGTTCCACAGCAGCCAGGGCTATGGGCAACACAGACCCAGGGACCTCGGGTTTCAGGGGGGTGGGTAACCCACAGGCTGGGTGGGAGCTGGGGAAGTAACTGCTCTCACCATGTTCCTGTTTGTGCACACAGTTCCTGGGCACATTTCACTTCCAGCAGAGCCACAGCACAAAGTGAAGGCCAAGCACGAGACCCAACTGCCTTGTCAGGAACCCCAAATGTAAAGCAATCGTTTCTAACAAGTAAAACAACCTGACTTTGTGCCCACAGGACAAAGCAGAAAGAAGGTGTTTGTTGGAAAACTTCTCCCTTACTCTTGAAGGCCTGGGCTACCTGCAGGACTTCATCACCCCTGAGAAAACCACAGCCGAGTTACTTCCCTAGCATTTAAAAAACAACTCTGAAACCAGAAATTTAAATGAGTTACCAAAGCAAAGACCAGTGGAATCCTGAACTGCATCAAGGAAAAGACATGAATGAATGAACCCAAGTGAAGGTGATGTTAAAAGACAGCAGAGTAAAGGAGCCTTTAAAACAATTCTGCAGTGAGCAGAAATACTCCTGAACACACTATTATTTTTAAACACTAAACTTACACAAACGGCTTGATTGGTTAATGTGCCTTGCAAAAAGCCAACCCAGTGACAAAATTAACCCTCTGACCTTACCCTGGAATGGAATTTTTGCTGTCTCTAGAAGCCAGGCCACAGGGAAAGCACTCACAGGCCACAGGGAAAGCACACAGCTGAACTGTGATCTTTTTTCTTCACAAACATTTCAAGAATTTATTTTCTGTTTTCTTCATAAATTAAATTAAGTGGAAAAATCCGTTTGCATGCCCATTTACCTGGGAGCCTCCGGAGGCAGGGACAAGGCACGAGCAGAGGTTTGCAATGAGAGTCTCCAGGGACACGTTCAGGCTGTCCACGTAGACGGTGTAGATCAGGCCAAGGCAAGCCTAGAAAGGCAGACAACACATCTCAGGCTGTGGCACAGGATGCCAAAGGATCTATGTACACAGCTTTGGAAAACAAGAGGTTTTGAACAGTTATTACTGCAGTGAAGTCCTTTCCAGCAGAAGACACAGCACTCTGCGGGGGAGGTAACTGTTCAGTTCAAACAAAAGGGATGTGTGTGTGACAGGTTTGTGTTTCACCTGACTTTGACATGAAATTCCCTGTGTAACATTTTTGATTGCCTCATTGTACATGAAGTGCCTTTCCACAAGGTACTTCTAAAAACTAAGAAACCAACAGCTTCATCTGTGCCTTGAGCTCTGTGGGCCTAAACCTAACTGGTGTTGGGCTGTCGAGGCTCATTTTAAGACTAGTATCAATCATCAGCAATTCCATATGTTATTGCACTTACATTCTTTATTTTAGTAGTTTGATATAAATATACATTTAATTAACAGTACATAAATATTTCAGCATTTCCTCTCTTTTAATAGATCCAGTTTTGACTGAGAAATCACAGATACAGCTTTAGCATTTTTACTAGTAATTTACTGAAGATCATTCAACGTGACATTCCAAGGAGCCTTTGGAAGAAAGGAAGTAACTTTGTTCCACAGCATCCTTCTGGTGCATTTTAACTGCTCCTACTCTGATAAATCAGCAAATATTTCAGTAATTCTCTTCTTAGAAATAATTCCAACAGCAACTTTTCATCTAACACATAGTTAAACTGCGAAACTCCTGACCATGGCTTGCTGTAACATCTGAATGTTTGAGAAAGGACAAATTACAAACCCCCCAGAGCTGACACCTCTGGTTCAGGATGGCGTTTAGCTGTTATTCACACTGAATGAGGAGAGTGCTCTGTAGAATTATTTATTCTTACACTCTGCTTTGCATAGCTGTGGGTCACTCCAGAGACAAAGCACTGGGCGACACAAACTTCTACTCTCACTTGTAAGTCATCCCTAATGTCTCTCGACAGCTGCTCAACAGTTTCCTCCTTTGATCTATCAACTGAACTTTATTTGTTTCTGTTAGTATGTATGAGAATTTAAGCTTTCCATTTATCTCAGGTAAGTCATATTTCATCAGCTGAAAGTAATCCAAGATCCTAAATCTCTGTCGTGCACCTTAATTTAATCTGGAAGAGGCTCAGACATTTTGCTTTCCATATGGAGGAAAATCAGAATTCCAGTATTACCTTCCCATTATAGAGTGCATCAAATCCTGCTGCTGTCTCGGGTTCATCTAACCAAGTCTGCTTCTGTCCTGATAATTCCCTTCATTACACAGGAAATTGAGTCCCCCAGAAATCTCTATTGCGTTTTTTACGTAGTTTTAAAACTGCTTGGAGGGTAAAAAAGCACTGCTTTAACCTACAGGGGCCATTTACTGTCACACACACTGAATTTTATCTCCTTCAATCTAAACCTACTTTTGCTTTGAAATTCCCACATCAGTGCTGAGATATTTTAGATCAGAAGTAGTCACCACTACCTACCAAAACCAGATTTGTCTGCTGACATATGTTATAAATGGCAATTCCAAGTTCTTTACCCTGAAAATTTCTGGATAATCCAGTCTGGACACCAACACCAAACTTTTAGGAGCAAACACTTCTGCAGGCGGAATTAGACCAGACTCCTCTTCACCTTCAACTTCTTTTGTTCCCTTGAAAACAGAAGCACTCCAATTAATAAGCAGAAAGAAACCTGAGAGCAAAACATCAGCACTCTACAAAAGGTTAACACTTCTCAGAGCTCTGAACAGAAAGCGACTGCACTCCTTGAAACAGGAGCAGATTCCAGGGTTGTCTGAGTCCCTGAAAGCTTCTGGATGTGGTTCAACTTAGGGAAACTCAGCTGGGGAGTGGTGCCCACCTGCCCAGAGCACAGCTCGGAGGCAGCAGCTAACAGGACATGCTTCCCACTGCAGATACACAGTGGGGTACAGAGAGAGCCTCTCCCATCAGTTAGCTGATTCTCAGCCACACTGCCCCACTGCAGGCATGGATCTCCAGAACCCTGCTGTCCTCCCACCAGCACAGCTCACCTTCTCACACAACTTCCACTAACACCACAGCTACAACTACCTCCAAAGTCACCTCCAGCCAGACCCAGAGAATCTGGAACCTACAGGAATCTCTCCACGAGCTCCGATTTCTCAGAGAAATCCCTTGCTCAGGGCCCAACGAGGATCAAGAAAAGAGGAGGAAAGGCACAATGCAGATCAGCCTCAGTTGCTGATCATGTTGTGCAAGGCACTGGAAGCTCCTTGCCAGTGCTTATTATTCAATCACATATAGTTTGTTATTACTCATAGCCAAAACTAAAGTTGTCACTAAATATTTTCATTTCTAAAATTCCACACATCCTTTGATAGATTCACTATCTGACTAAGTTTTCGAATGACAGAATGTCTGTGCTTTCCAATTTTTGCATGTCATTCTCTCCACCCTCACACCACCCACCAAACTTCCTTTATCTGCTCCTCTGGCTGAGCATTCTTCCAAGAAAAAACCCTGTGTTATCTTGATTAGGAATACAAGAAAAAATTACTTCCATGTCCACATGCCTTCTATTTCTGTCATGTTGCTACTCATCCTTTCAGTTTAATTTAGAAAAAATCCAACATCACTTTTCAATTAAATGGAAGAAGCTTAGTAGAAATGCTCTAAAATGCCAGGAATGCTGTGAGTTCATGAGCTTTACTCCCCAGCCTCAATTCAGAATGTACCATTTCTTAAGGCAAACACATGTATCCCGAGCAGTGAAAACAATGACAGTGGAGGTACTTAAAAGCTGACTTAAAAATGCTTTTAATTACAAGAGATATTTAGTTACCATAAGCTTCATGTGGGAATTTTACTGAGTATGCACACGACCAAAAGATGCTGGAGATCACCATCCCACAGCATAACTGTTCTTTACGTGGAAACGGAACCGGTTCTTCCGAAGGTTCTTGTTCTCACTAACCTGGATGACTCTGGACTGACATAAATCACCTCACAGCAGTCCTGCCCTGGTCAGTCCTGCCCTGGTCAG